GCCTTATACGTTTAGTAATGAGATGAGCGAAACATCTAAACATTGGATAGTTAAGTCGATAGAGGATAAGAAAAGTGCGATTAGGTGTGTCGACTCACTCTGCACAAAATGGAATTGGAACGTCAAGATTGCTCAAGTGGTAGCATCAATTTTTTTCCTTTTTCATTCTCTCGCTTCTCCTTAATTCTTCAGAAAGACACCTTTAGCTGATAGGTATGAAAACGACTGCACTTTATTTACACTCGTGTAATTCTGTTGTTGTGTAAAGCTGAATTAAGCCGTCTTATCTCCACCCAAGCAGTTTAGTTCAGCCTCTTATACTCGACCATTATGTTTCCAGTTAGCTAATCTATCATTACGCTTGGTCAAATTTAATAACTAAAATTTCTCTCCTCTCATTTAACAAATTCTTTAAAATATTCAAAATTCATTTATATATATAAATATATTTGAAAACGTCAAATTCTATTTATTACATTTATTTCTTTAATGGAAACGAAAAATAAAAAGAAAGAAAAATGTTACAAGAGAAGGAAAAATCTGATTACAATAATTTGTTCAGTTTTTCTTATTCTTTATATGAATTCTTTCCAAAATACTTAATGAATAGCTAGAAGCTAATGAGTCTATTGAATGTTACCGCATCTAATTAAATCTTGGTAAGAAAATAATAAAAAATTTCAGTAAAAATTATTAAAATTTTCGAACGTCTAAAATAAATAATTAAGATTCTCTTTTGCATGAAAAAACATTATTATTTTCTTTTTTAATTCTTTATTTTATTGAAACATATTGTAACATGTTTTTATCTAATAAAATATTTTTATTAGGTGTTATTAAAGTGAGTATAATAATTTAATGAGGAAAGAATGCCGAATGAATAAAAATTACAAGATAAATGCATTTTTCGTTGCACTATGATCATTTATATTTGACATTCTCCTAATTGTTTTTGTTGTCACTCGGGCTACACTTTTATTAGCGATATTAACTCTAGTAAATCGCTAATTTTTATACATTTTGATATTAAAATTATGATTTATTCGGTCAATTTTTTAAAGTTTAATTAATTTTTAAAAAATAATTTTAATAACTTAAAATGTTTTAGCAGTTAATTAAAATCATTTTATTTAATATAAATTGGTATAATATATATTTTAAAAGTTCTATTTATTTCTTTAAATAAATTATATAGGTCTATATAAGAGAATAAATAACATGACATATATAAAAATTAATTTTTTTACTCTTCAAAATAACCATTTTATTACTAAATTTTAAATAACCTACATGTACTCATTATATATTTGTATATCTTCAAGTTTTGTCTATAAAAATAATAAAATAATTTTATTTAATTAATAATTTAGTACTAAAAATTAAATCAAATTGCTCAATTAAGTGCTCGGTTATCAGAAAGAAATAGAAACAGTAATCATCAGGCACTTCAAATAATCCAAATTATTTCGAAAAAATGGCTAGATGATAAAGGTTCTTAACTAGAACCTGAGAGAGATGAAGTGAACCGAACAACTCACAAATATGGGTCTTCACTCCTCTCCGAAAGCCATAAAAATATATGAATAAAATCAATAAAAGCAAAAATTTTATTGATTATCAACAGGAAATTTAATTTATATATTTTTCATATCATATTTTTTTATATAAAAGATTAAATTTTAGGGACTCTTTGTGTTCAAGAGCCAAATGGATCCCTCTACAATCAAGGGATACGTAGAAAATTTTCAGAAGTCGTGTGCTTGGAAGTGTAAAAATCAACTTATTATCTTAATTTTATGGTTTTTTTGTGCAATTTTTAATTACTGTGTTAAGAAAGAAGCGTATATATATTACTATATCACACGTTTTTTTCTTATTTTAATAAATGTATTTCTATATGGTTTATTTTGTAATTGTATTTTATACATTTAAAAACATTATTCCGAGAAAGGGTTTACGATCTTCACCTGATTAAAATAGGGATCCACGGAAAAAAAAAGGTTAAGAACCCCTGCTATAGAAGGATATCAGATATATGTATATAGATGTATACAACGAATAGTTTGCGTACAAAAAACAAATAAACATTTTATTTAATAGTCCTTAAAAAGTCGATTAGCTGATTTTGAGTTAATGAAAAACGTTATTTTCGTGTTGACCAATCTTTTATGCTTTCGACTCTCATAAAGCATTGAGTGAATTTAATTCATTTGAAGCTTGACGGTTTCACTTGACGGTTTCATCTAATAATCGAATTTATTCTTTAATAAAAAATAAATACCTTTAAAAAATGGGAAAATGAGAGAAAGAAAATAAAATCCAAATAGAAAAAAAAATATGTTTGCTCCTTCGATAACACGCTTCGATTTTCTTTATTAACAAAATCAATCATTCAGTTATTACAGGGACATAAGTTTCATTATAAGAAACAAATGTTTAATATTATGTTGTAGCCAGATCGGATTTAGACTTGTAACCTTTAAGCTATAACGTATAAAAGGTCCTTCCCCTCCATCGAATAATAATAATAAATTTAAAAGTTTGAGTCCCTGGGCTATAGCCTCATAGCGTGAGGTCTGTTTAACTTTATGTGGCTGCAACACTAACAAATGATAGCGTAACGTATGGCAAGAAATGTTACGCTACAGTGCTAAACGATATAAAACATTATTAAGAAATTAATTTAATTATTATTATTTTTTAATTTTTACAATAAATATTTTAGAGAATTTCTCTCAATTAAATGCTATAAATGTGAGTAATATTTTTTAAAATATTTTATTTAAAGATAAACTATTTTTTAAAATTGTATATAACGGTAGTAACTTAACAAAAAAAATCTGTTTTTTGTGTATATTAAAGTAATTTGTAGCTTATCAGTCACCACACCCTTTCCATTATGAGAATTTAAAAAATGTTATAACTCTTTAGAGATTGTAGAATACATATAATGTACTGTACAATACAGTACGTTATAATTTGGACAAAATTGTTTATAACTTATTCAATAACATAACACTTATGCATTATTAAGTTTATGAAAATATCATAAATTGTAAATATTCTTTTTTTCTGATCACATAGACATACATCAATGTGACTTTTATGCGATATTATATATGCAAATAATAAATTATTAATAAGGGAAAAGACTAAGTTGGAATTTTTTAAACAATATTTTTAATAATTCAATTTAAGTTTTATAAATTATAATAATATAAGATTTTTAATTCAGATTTAATTTTATAGAAGAAAAGTCAAATGATTTTATTCATTTACAAGACGAACAAAGTTATTGTATGCCTGTTGTAAAAAAAAATACAACTAGAGGCACAGTGGCTTTTAATTAACATATATGTACACACAGACAGATAGACATATATAGTGTATGTATGGATCATATATACGCATTATTATATAAAATTAAATTAAAATTTATAAAATACATACATACGCACGCACACAAACACTAACATACGTATGACAAACACATATATAGGCCTACACAAAACTTTTGAATTGAATTTGACAGAAAATAAGGATAAGACATTTATATAAAGTAAATTTAGCGGTAGTTGTTCTTTCTTATCATTACAACAATCCGAAAGTAAATCATTTATATATATATATATTCCCTAGAGCTGTCTACTTATACAAGTTCATCAATGAAATCCTTTTGTGCCAAGGTGTATTTTAATTTCCGTTTTAGTAGAAAGAAGAATATGCATCAAGCTCGTCAAGAGAACGTAGAGAGAGATCAAAGGGTACCTTTTACACTATCTTCTACAACAAAAGAAAAAAGAACAAGTACGAGAAAAATAAAAAATTTTTCTTGTTTTTTTAAAAGAAAACCCGGCATTTCTATTTCTCGTTTTCTTTTCTTCTTCTTTTTTTTTAAAAAAGAGGAGAAGAGAAAGAAGAACCACTGATTTCATTTCTGCTCATCAAAACATGTTATCCTGTTAAAATACATGTTATCTTTCTTGTTTAGTAAACGGATAAAAACAACGTTTAACTTTTATTTCATGTTGAAAATTTATGAGATAACTTATATATTTAATTTTATTTAATGTTTTTCTTATGTTAATGATCAAACATTGAAAAAATAAATAAATATTTATTTATTTACTTATGTTCTAATTAAAGTATTAGTTTTAAACACTGTTTTTTAAAAGTAAAATATCAGAATATTGAATAATTTAATTTTTTTTAAATTAAACTCAGAAATTCTAGTATTTATTTATTTACTTTTAAGCTTAATAAAAATTGTAATTTTAAGAAAATAAGCCTTTATATTTACTAGATATAAGCAGAAGTCAAAGAAATTTAATTATATATATATATATTTTTACATTGGAAAGTTATAATAATTATTTATATGTATAAAAGTAACAGGAAAACTCTCATACGATCTGGATACATGAGATACAACACTACAACATTACAACATTATTAACAACATAAATAATTTCTTATAGAAAAACTAATCAAATCTGATTATTGAAGTGAAGGGAAGAAATTTAAGGGAAAGTAAGCTTTAGAGAAACTCCTAAAAATTAATTAATCGTTAAGCATTTGTGATTCTCCTATTATAGAAGATGATGACGTCAGATTGGCTGTAAAACACCAGGAGGCTTTTCTGTCGGTGCCAAGAGGATTAGGATAAGGCCTTGCCAGTATCCATGGATTAAGAGGATTTTGTTCTCCGAACAGAAAGTAGTTGAGCTGATTCAGTACATTTTTCTCTTAAATCCTGTTTGTCTTATGTTAGAAACGAATTTCTCTAACAACTTATTTTATCGAAACTGGAATAGTTTTCGCATGTAAAAGGAGAGATTTTTTTTCCTAATTTATAATATTTTAAATTGTAATTTATTGTTATAATAAATAAATAATAAGTACATTCTTAATAAATAAATGATTAAAAGTGAAATTTATCCAAGAGAGATTTAAAGGTTCTTTTATAAATGTTATCAAGTGATGATAAATATAGAGTTTACCTGTCTTCTATAAGAAACATGTCGTTTTCAGAATCAATACATTTTCCTTTAAATGTAAAAACGTCACCTTCTATTCGTATCGGAGGTTGAACTCCTTTCTGAAACCACATTCCAGCCCACTTTGGTGGAAAATGGCAACCAAGACCATCTGTAAATACACAAAAATAAATAAAATTTATGTATTGAAAACGATCCCACCTTATTCACTTACGAGTATTTTAATTATTTTTTTAAAAAAAAATTGTCGTATTTAAGGTAAATATATAATATTTTAAGTATAACTTAGTATATTATATGAATGAAAGAAAGGTTTTTATATAAGCAGAGTAAAAGTAAGCAAGTTAGATATCACTAAACAAGATAACTTTATTAATTAACAACGTTATTGCCAATTTGGTGAATGGTTAACACAAAAAAGAGAAAGATAGAAAAAACTTTACATGAATGAAAAACCGTAAAAGTCTTTAAATTATCTTATTGTTTAAAATCACCATTATCTTGATTATCCAAACCTTATTGTCAGGAGAAGTCAAGCTAACACACTAATCCATTTTGCTCCTTAGAAAATGACAAAAAATGCATTTCCCAAAGGAAGTAAACCTTTTTACACAATTGTTTTTTCACCTTGATTAATTAAGTTTTTACGGTAATACTTCTAAAGAGACAAAAAAAAGTATTCACATCGAAGTGTTGGGAAAAAAAAGACACTAATGTCTTAACATCCTCTTGATACAATTATTATGATTATGCTTTCATAGAATCGAAGTAACTATTAGAAATCTCGTAACATTTCCAAAGCCTTTATAACAACATAAAAGAGAATTTATAAGAAGAAAACAATGGTAAGTATTAGGAGATTCTTCAAAAGAAAAATTAGCATAAAATCCCTCTAAAGCGAAGAGCAGCTGTATTCTAAGATTAACATTAGAAAACTCACAATTGCATTACCAAATAGAATAGATTAAAGGCATACAAAACAATATTACATTTCTTTATATATATAATTCCATTTCTAAATTAAAGTTAAAAAAAAAACTTAAAAAAAAGTAGTATTAAAAAAAAGCTGACAGAAACTTCTGCTTTAAAATTTATATTATATTTTAAAAAAAGCAAACGAAGTTATCAGAAAATAGTAATGAATAAGTTATAAATATATAGTATTACTTCAAAAAATACAATAGATTGAAGTCTGTAGTCCCCTTTTACCTGGAGGGCGATGACAAAAGGACCTAATCTATGTACCGATCAGAAGAAGATCTGTGTTTTCACATTGTCCTTGCGGTAAAGATACGGATGCAGACTGACAATATTGGCAAGAGGATAGAATGCGGTTTATGTACAGTGGAAAGAATAAACACGGAAAAGTTAAAGCATCGCATCGATAATAATAATCTTCTCGTCAACTTGACAGATGTTTTTCTAACAAAATAAGAAATTTTTTTCTATAAATTTATATATAATGGAGTCGGTTTTTTACTAGATTATAATTTTCAGAAAAGAAATTATATTTTGATAATAATTTTCTATCTATTATTATTATAGATAATTTCGATTTTTTTTTACTCCGAAAAAGCTAATAATAAAGTTCCTTTTTTTTTAACTTACATTTTCAATGTATTTTAAGATAAATGTTAAGTTTTTTTTACGTTGTTATTATTCGTTTTCGGTTCTCTCTTTTTATTATTTTTGCGAGNTTATCATAGATAATTTCGATTTTTTTTTTACTCCGAAAAAGCTAATAATAAAGTTCCTTTTTTTTAACTTACATTTTCAATGTATTTTAAGATAAATGTTAAGTTTTTTTTACGTTGTTATTATTCGTTTTCGGTTCTCTCTTTTTATTATTTTTGCGAGAAAAAAAGAAGGAAATGAAGTTTCGATTAAATTAGCAAAATCAAGAAGATAGAAGGAACGGAACTGATAGAAGTGGACGAAAGAAAAAAAAAGAGGGAGAAAAAAGGAAAGAAAGTAAAGGAAGAAAACAGAAAATGAAGAATATGAAACGATAAGAAAAATAAAAAAGAAATTAGAAGTTTGGAAATAAGAATTAAAAATGTTTACAGGAGGAAAAAATTATATAAGAAGCCAGCAAAAATTTTAAGGAAAATGCTTGATAAAATAATATTTGAAAAAGGAAACCCTACTTGAACCGGGAGGAACAGCGAAAAGAATTAAAAAAAAGCGAGAAAATTTACTAAAAAAAATAAAAAGTCTGCCAAAGCCCCAATAGAGAAAAATAAAGAAAGGAAGGAAAAATTCTAAACTTTCCATCAATATAAATCATATTTTTAAAAGAAGCAAAACAATTTTATGGACATCATAAGCCGAAAAAGGGATAAATAATTAATTTGATTAGGGCAAGAGGAACAATTCTTAATGCGTCGTACAAACGTGAGCTTTATGTAGAGCCAAAATGGCAGAATCCGAGTAGCCACACGGGTGTCTGTTAGCATTGTTGACACACAGCTAAAGTCCACAGAGAAGAGGACAAATAGAGAATGCCATGGTGATGAGATTTGTCTACCTTTGTTTGACTCCTGTACCTCAGCAAAATGGGTGAGAACGTCAGGGTGAAGAAGGGAGAGAGACTCCTAAGGGAAATACAGGCCTTTTGTTTCCCTCCGTCTCAGACGAACTCCGAATGATAAATGCGATCAAGCCAAATTCCACTGAGCGTATGTGCTAAATTAATGGTCACTCAGAATATTGAAATTTTATTTCCTCGGTATTCTATACTTGTTTTTTTCCTGTAGGGAAGGCATCTCGGGAATTGTTAATCAGATTTTAACGTGTAGAACTGTGATTACTACAGCTGTACGGGATTTTTTCCCAGGTTTTTACTGCCTCTGGCAGCATCGACTTTACGAATAGTTTAACGAGTTGGGTGAAGTATCGATTGGGATAATATTGACAGTTACAGACATTCTCTATAAACATAAGAAAAGATCAAATAAATTTTCATTTTCCATTGAATTAGCCAAACGAATTTGTTTTTCGACTGGATCAATTGCTTTACTAATAACTTGTTTTCTATGTCTTCCGCTCCATTTCTGTAAACATTGGAACGTAAAAAATGGAGAAATTATTTAATTTTAATCAAAACATAATAACAATAAAAATTAAGAAGCGAATAAACAAAATAAACAAAAATAAAGGAAACCGAGATGTAAAGAAAATGAAGAAAATGATGCGGAGGAAATCATTCTTTTTCGAATCAACCCATGAGGAATATTTAGAATGAATAAAATCAAAAAGTGATAAGAAAGCAAAAGAGAGTCCCCACAGGCACACAGAAACGAAAAAAGGAGAAAGAAACAGAATTAGAATAGAAAGGAAGAAGCAAAGGAAGGACGATAATAGAGTTTAGTCCACGAAACGTTGAAGGAAAACCATTCCACTCTGTGATAATGTTTAAAATAAATAAAATTAAGAGAAGTAGCGAACAAAGAATAATTAGTAAATGTATAAAACTAACGAGGAGAAGTATAATATAATAATTACATTAAAATATATAAATTTTAACAAAGTTTAAAGACATCCTTTGACTAGTAAACATGAATTGAAACAATAATCAATTTAGTAAGAATAAAAAAAACATTAAGTGTGTTAGAAGTGTAGCAGCAGCCATCTCAATAAGAAAGTGCATACATCAAAAGTATTGTTTCAATGGCATCTGTAATGTCTTTTTTGAATATTTGACAGATCCAACAACCCGTATGTAATTTCGATTTAAAGGAAACGACATTCACATTTCAAAACGCGAAGCATCAAAAAAACTTGCTTACTCTGCTATCACATTGTATTTTTTTTATACTTTTCTTTTCTTTATTCTTGATTCTTTCAACGGAAAATACAAGCGACAATCTGTAACAGCAAACACTTGTTTTTTTTCAATCAAAATCATTTTTTATTTGCCTCCCTCCCTTTCTTTCATTTATTAGATTCAACCTCAGATGTGAATCTTATACAAGCCATTGAAGATGTTTTAAAGAATTCTTTTAAATTGAATCAGATCTTTGTTTTAAAACAGTGATAAGGGGGATTGCTTTTTCAATACATCTTCCTCCCCTCCGGTTCTTTCTTCTTCCAATTCTGTTTGAAAGTAATATCCATTTAAAGTTTAATTAAAACATTCCATTCCATTGAATCTCATATTCTGTACCATTGAATATTGAAAATTTATGCGGCTCTGTTCTATGCTTCTTCACAGTTGTTAATTGAATTTTCTCGTGTTGTTTCAATTGATTATTTTTTAACCTTCTGCCAGAATATGTTTTTTTTATTATTCCTTAATTTAAAAAAATTCGTCTTTTTCATGCTTCTAACGATACGTTAAAGGTCATCAAAGCTGTAAAAATTCTGTCATCTTCATTATCTTTTCAGAAGATTTGATGCTTTATACAGAAAAGCAAACCGATACAAAAATTCTAAATTAAAAATTCTTTGTAACTTAACTATTATTAACATTCTGCTAATTACATTAAAAAGTTTTTAAAATGTTATTAAATTTATCAAATTAAATTAATCTATTCTAAAACTTAAAAAAAAACTAGTTATTTCTCATTAAATAAATCCAAAAATAGAATTTTTCTTTAGAAAATAAACAAGATAATACTCTATAAAGACATATTTTATAGCCTAAAAATGAGATAGAACATAAAATAATATCATTAAATAGTTATAAAACTCTATCAAAATAGTAGATTTAATTTTTTTTTTAAAGTGGCATTTACTAAAATAAAATTTTATAATAATTTATATTTTATCTTCCAGACATTTTATTAATAAAAATAAAGATTAACATGGAAAGTAATGACCTGTAAAATTTGTTTATAAAATTAATTCTTACGCTAATCACCAGTCTGACATTTGAAAACATCACGTTCTTTATTATACATCAAAGCCATCTGTCATTCCCAATAACATGGTCGAGACTCAATTACCTAAAGTTGTAAAACTAATCCTGGAAACAGGAACTAATTTCATTTTCCAAAAATTCCAAAAAGTATTTGGTAAACGCCATTTATTGGAACTAATCTGAAGCCATGTCTAAGCTGTCAATTATTGTTACAACCAAGTTGTTTTGAGTGGCAGTTCTACCTCACAAAAATACAGTATAAAAGAAGGGGAGGTAGTACACAACTTCCA